GTGATGGTTTAGGTTTGGGGGTGGGGGCAGGTTTGAGGTGATTGCTGGCACAGGGAATCACATCTGAGGTGTAGTTTTTGTTTTCATGCAGGAGCCCTCCCTGGGGGTGCTCAGAGGGAGGCTGGAGGTTGGGAGGCAGGTCCCCACCCCGTCTTTCTCTTCCTTCTTGGCCTGCACTGCCCTGCTTACCCAGCGGATGAGAGTGGCATAGGTGAACGGGGGCCGCATGTTGTGGAACTTGAAGTAGTCCATGTTGTGGAAGAACTCTGTCCAAGGGGGGAGAGGAGTCAGGCCCCACCTAAACCTCCTCACTCCCTCTCCTACCCTCTGCTCTTCCCATGATCAGTTACTGTTTGCTGAGCACTGGATGTAACTTGTGTCACTTACTCTGTACCACTCCCATCAAAATGAGGTGTAACCTCTCAGAGGTTTAAACGAAGGGAAGTAACTTACACGCCAAAAGGACTTAACTGGTTAAGTGGTAGAACCAAGATGACACTCAAGAGCCCTGATCCCTGTTAAACCCACAGCCCAGGCCTTTTGGGTAGTAGGGGATTGGTGAACTTGGGCAAATCACCCCATTTTCCCTTGAGGGGGGGAGGGAGAGTCCCTGGAAATTACATAGGTAGTTCCCTCCCTTCTCCTTTATGACGACCAAATGGCATAGCTGAAGCCCCAATGCCCAGGGGAGATAGGGCTAGACATCTGAGATCCTAATGGGAGCCTACAGGCCACGGACACCCGGAGAGGAAGCTTTGCAAGCAGATGTGCTTGTCCAAAGGCCAGGTGGTGGTGGTGGGGAAGAGCAGTATGGAGCCCCACTCCATTGTATGTCAGTCTGGGGGTCAGGGTTTCAGGGACACCATGCAGGGCACAGACTATTCTTACCTGGGAATGTACTATGTCCATGGCTGCCCCAGAGGTGCCTCCGCACAGCAAACAGGCCATTGGGGCCCTCCTGGGGGCCAGGCCAGGCCGGAAGGGTGGTGCCCGGGGTGCCAGCAGCTACAATGCAGCAGGAGCCCTTGTCAGATGATACCTGGGTGTGGTGAGGGAGAGGCTGGTGACCTGGAGGCTGAAACTTTCCACTTGAATTTTAAATAAGTGAGTGTTTTTAAAACTAAGGGCGCCCTGCCCTGGCCAGTGTGGCTCAGTTGGTTGAGTGTTGTCCCAAAAGGTCACCGGTTCAATTCCTGGTCAGTGCACATGTCCAGGTTTCTCTCTCATGTCTCTCTCTCCCTCTCTCTCATCAATAAAAAAAACCCCAAAACAAAACACTTAAAAGCAAGGGTGCTCTCTTCTCAACTCCAGTCTGATATGTATTCCCACAAAGCAGCATGAGCTGTGTTTATCAGACTGTGGTGTGGGCACTAGTGTGTGTGTAGCTCACCAATGATGGGGGCTGTGAGCTGGGGTTGAATTGGGCTCCTCTATTACCCAAGTCACTTATGTCTGCCTGGCCTCAATTTCCCTCATCTGGGGGTTAGGGATGATAGCAGTGCCTACATTACAGTGGCATCATGAGGACTGAGTAAGTTCACACCAGCAAAGGGATCAGAAGGGATGCCTGTGACCCGTCACCCAGGGCCCACCTCATGGGCATGTGACCTGTACAGCCAGCCATACAGGGCCCTCCCTTTGTTTAATACTCTGTGGCTGCCACCTTGAAATCCGAGGCCTGCATTTTAATTTTGCCCTGGGCCTGCACGTTATACAGCCAGTCCTGCCAGTGACACACAGTCTGCATTAAGTGTCTAGCTACTTGATGTGGCTTTGAAAACAAGGTTATGATATTTCAAGAGCTTAGGGTCAGAGGGCTTGTAAGTGGAGGGGCGTAGATTCTCAGATCTGGGCATGTTTGGAGCTGGGAATGGGCCCACAGATCCCAGGGCCTGGGTGTAAGAATAGGTCCCCTGCACACTGCAGGGCCCTTCCCTGTCCCCTTCCACCAGCAGTCTGTGCTGCCATGAGGCCTGGGGTGACTTACCACGGATGGAGGCGTGGTCAGGGCCATCTTCCCAGCCAGGTGGGCCTGCATAGCACCCAACTTCTCCTTCTCCAGCACCAGCTGTGAGGACAGGCACACAGTGAAACCTCAACCTGGCCTCTTTCCACCATGTTTTTGCCCAGGCTATGTTCTTCCCTGGGAGTGCCCTTCCCCCTTCCTTCCTTTATGTTAGTCTCCATCCTGGGTGAGCTCAGCTTCTGGCACAGGGTGGACATAAGGTTTGCCCACCATCCCCCCACCGTCACCCCCGGCCCCACGTCACCTGCTGCTCCAGAGATTGCACCACCTCCCTCTGGAGGAGACACTGTGCCCTGCCCTTCTCATCCAGGAGATGGTCTGCCTGGCAGTGCCTGGGGAGGGGGAAGAGTCCATGTAGGTGACCATGGCAGACCTGGCCTCGAGGCTCAATGTTCTCAATGGGGAGGGCTCAGCCTCTAACCCCTCTACCTCGGTCTCCCTCTCACACCATTCCTTCAACACATGCTACTTGGTATCTCCTTTGTGCCAGGCCTGAGCAGGCTACTTGAGCCTGGCCAGGGTGTTGGAGATGACTTAGAAGGAGGTAAGCTGGAAGTAGCCAGGTAGGTGAGAGCAGGAAAGGCATTCCAGATGGAGGGAAGGCCTGGTGGTGAAGAGGATAGGATACATTGAGTTGCCAGTGATAGTTGGGTAGGGTTGGAGAAAGTGTGTGACTGTGTGTGTGTGTGTGTGTTTGGTATCTGGGGGTATCTTGTATCTGGTTGTGATGAGGCTAAGAAGAGGCAGCAAAAGCCATTTTGAGGAGCTGGGACTTTGGGGATCAATAAAATCAGCCTGGTGTGTTGGCATGACAGGTAGAAGGGCAAAGCAGGTAGGAGTGTGGATTCTGAAGCCTGGCTGCCTGGGTTCAAATCCCAGCTCAGTCACTCAGGAACTTGGTAATCTTGATCAACACACTGAACCTCTTTGGCCTGTTTCTTAGTCTGTAAAATAATAGTACAGGTAAATAATAGTATACATTATTATGCCCCATATACAGATGAGAAAACCAAGGCCCAGGGAAGCTAAGCAACTTGCCCAAGATCTTAGAGCCAGTGATGGACAGAGCCTGGATTTGAATTCTCAGTCTCAGCTTTTGCCTCTTTTTTTTTAATCCTTACCAAGGAGATTATATATATATATATATATATATATATATATATATATATATATATATATATAAATTTTAAATATATTTTATTGATTTCTTACAGAGAGGAAGGGAGAGGGATAGAGAGTTAGAAACATCGATGAGAAAGAAACATCGATCAGCTGCCTCCTGTACACCCCCCACTGGGGATGTGCCCGCAACCAAGGCACATGCCCTTTACTGGAATCAAACCTGGGACCCCTCAGTCTGCAGGCCAATGCTCTATCCACCGAGCCAAATCAGTCAGGGCCCGAGGATATATTTTCCATAGATTTTTAGAGAGAGTGGAAGGGAGGGAGGGAGGGAGGGAGAGAGAGAGAGAGAGAGAGAGAGAGAGAGAGAGAGAGAGACTCTATGTGAAGACACATGGATATCCTCCTGCACATGCAGGAAGATTGTAGGTATGTACTGGTACTGGGATTGTAGGTACATACCCTTGACCAGGAATTGAACCTACAACCCTTTGGTGTGCAGGCCGATGCTCCAACCACTTAGCACAGCAGCCAGGGCTCAGCTTTTGCCTCTTTTATCAAATTACTACCTACCGGGGTGAGGCCTGAGCTGAGACCTGCACCCAAGACCTCCTCCCACAAACTGGGGACCGCTCTGGACTGGAATAGGCCTGGGCCACTCACTTGAGGAAGTCCTCTGGCTCCTCAAAGACCTTCTCACATCCGGGCCACTTGCAGACACCATTTGCCAGCAGTGAGTAGGAGCCCTGGGGCACGGTCGAAAGGGTGCTGGGGGGACAGAAGGTGTCAGGGGAGGGAATACCAAGGCAAGGGTCCTTCCCAGCTTTTCCCACTGACCTGTCTTTCTTGGGTGCACCAGGGCTTGGGAAGGTGCAGAGCAATGCTGGTTCCCTGGACACCCACTCCAGGCTGGCCATGTTGATCCCTGTAGGTAGGGACAGGGCACCTTTGGAGACGGAGACTATGAACTGGGCTCTGGAGCTTGGCCCACAAGGCCTCTCCTTTTGAGCTTCCCACCCTCCTGAGCCTCTGGTGTCCCTAACACCCAAGGTTTTTGGTGGAACAGCTCAAAGACTGCCATTCACAAGTCCTGACATTTTGATGAACTCTGCAAAGATCTGGTTCCGTGATTTTGATGTTCTGTACCCTTCAGGTTCTGAGCCTGACATTTTTCGGAGGTTGGAGTTTCCGAGATGATAAAAGCTGACACCTGACCCTTGAGGGCCACAATTCAGCAGCCTACACTGCTCATAGTCAAGGACTTGGGGGGCTCTGGGATTCTGTGGGGCTGTGGGGTGTGGTATTACCAGGTGGCAGGCCAGGCCGGGCCTTGAGAGAGAAGACCCCAGTGGCAGCAGTGGGTGGCGGGAGGCTGATCATAGCTGGTCTTTCCAGTGGGTGCACCTGCAGCATGGGAGTCCGGGCATGGGCATCCACTGTTGAGAGCTGGGGGCACATATGGACTATGGTTCCACCTGGCCTCCTCCCAATTCCCCCACCTACTCCCTCCTCCCTGCCCAGTCACGGTCCATACCTGGTGCATGAAGTGTGGCCTGTCTTGGAGGAGTGCCTGCAAGTGGGGCGAAGGACCCAGCCGTGTTCCAGAAGGTGCCACCATGACGAGGGGCACTGTGGGCAGCTGGGGGGAGAAAGCAGGCAGGAGAGATGCTGTCCTCATCCTCACTGTTCTAAATGTTGAATTCATATGCTCCTCACCACAACCTCACGTGGTAGGTGCTAGGACCATCCCCTTTATACATATGTAAAAACTCAACCTCAGGGAGATTGAGTGACTTTCACAAGATCAACTAATAAGTGGCAGAACTGGCCTCAACTCTGTCATCTCACGCCCTAGGGCCCCATCCTCTCTTCTGTCACATGGGGATGGGGACACATGGCCATACCTGTGGGACCATGATAAAGTCTTCTCTCCTGAGAGGGATTGGGAGTTTGGGGAGAGCCTCGGATCTCTGAGACCTGCTAAGTGGGGACTTTCTTAGCCCCGTGACATCTGCATAAGTCACAGACTTGCCTGGGACCCAGAAAACCACTTCCTGTTCCCCAGCCGGGCCCCCCGCCCGGTGCCACAGTAAAGGTCGGCACCTGTAGGCCCAGGTACTCCACCCTGCTTGCTCCATCCTGGGCCCCGGGCCTCACCTGCAGCTGTGATGGTGGCATGGGGTTCAAGGAGGAGGAGGAGGCATGGGCCCCACCTCGGAGGTCCCGGCCCTGGAAGGTTGCCCCCGGGCCCTTGGCCCCCAGTAGGTCTGAGGCCTTGGGTGCAGCCCTCCAGCTGGACGAGACTCCTGGGGATGGGCTGAGCACCAAGGAAGGGGCCAAGGGCTTGGCAGGCCTGGGGTTGGGCATTGGGTCCTTGTCCAAAGTCAGGCTGTAGAGACATAGGGGAAGGAGTTATACATGTGTTGGCGGTGTGCAAAATACTCAACCACCTGAACCATGTGGACACCCCCTCTGGTCAGAGCAGTCATTGGCTGGAACATGTCCCAAAGGATCCCACAATTAGACCCCAGCTCTAATCATGGGTGCATGCACACATACACACACATTGGTGTCAGGAACATGGGTGTGTGTGTGTGTGTCCGCACACATGTCCCATGTGCAGACTTGCACCATTCAGCATGTGGCTTGCCTACACGTGCTGGCACAGCCCTGGTGGGGATGTGTTCTCCAGAGGGCAGTTGGGGGTTCATGGTGGTTTGTGGGGCCTCAGCCAGGGTAGGTCTCAGCTCCTTCCCCCACCACTTGAGGCCTTGAATTCAGGCCTCAGCCCTCCAGTCCTCCCTGAACCTGGCATCGGTCACACAACCTTTGCTGATCCCACAACCTTTTCTGATCCCACTGGGGCTGGTCTCTGATTTTCTTCTGGGAGCATAATTTTACCCCAGTGACTTGGGCATATCTGGGAGTGGCAGGGGACGTGGACTCAAAAGATCCCACTGGTTGCTGTGAAGGGACAGACTCTAAGAAGGTGAGGGCAGAAATAGAGGACTAGTGAGGAAGCTACTGCAACAGTCCCAGTAAATGACGATGGTAGCACAGACCAGGATGGTGACAGTGGAGATGGTGAGAAGTGGGTGGATTCTGAGCATGTTTGGAAGGTAGAGTCAGAGAACTTTCTGGTAGCTTGGATCTGGGGCTGAGAGAGAGAGAAAGTGACAGAGCAGCTGTAAGGACAGAGCTGATGTCACCTAGGATGAGGGAGACGGGGGAAACAAAGTAGGGGGGTGATGATCCAGGTGTGGATGAACATGAAGAGTCTGGCATTAGACATACTAGTGGAAATGCTGGATGGACAGCTGAGTGGGAGTCTGGTCATCTCTGGGCTCTACCGTGCACAGAACTGACATGGCAGGTGCCAGACGAGGAGAGACAGGCTCTCTTGAGCCGGGGCCTGTGGGAGCTCCTCAATTCAGTCCCTATCAGAATCTACCCCAAAGCCTTTGTGCTCATGCAGTTTGGCTTGCCTGAAATGCCCACTCTTCCTCCTCTTCCCCTGTCCAAGGCCAATCCAGAAAGCCCTTCATAGTGGCTCTAGAACCCTATACTTCCCAACAGGCAGGGCTTTGGTTTCCCAGAATCCTGTAATCCCAGTCCTAGAGGAAGTCAGAGCTAGAAGGGACTGCCCAGTCCAACCTCCATGTTACTGAAGAGGACACCCAGGTGCAGCATTCCACAGTCCCATGGCGACTTGGGAACTCCACTGCTTTCTCCAGAAAATTTGTGTGTGTGTGTCCACATTTCACAGGCCCCCTGCTGTGGGGCGGTGTGTGTCTCCCGCATCACCCAACAGTACAGGGTGGGGCAAACAGCTGCCGAGAACAGCTTGCACCTTCCTTTCTTTGCTGTCAGCCATGGGGGTTGTCAGAGCTGTGGTGCTGAGGGAGGTGGGGTGAAAATTCAGATCCTCAACTCTTAGTCTCCCCTGGGGGTTAGAACATTACTGTGTGAGAAACAGGAGCCTGGGCCTCTGAAGGCTCAGGATAAGAGCCTGAGAGAACATCAGTGACAACGAGGAGGTACGTGAAGGAATGAGCGGATGAATGAAGGTGGAAATCAGGGTGATGCTTCTACAAGCCAAGGAATGCCAAAAATTACCAGGAAATCATGAGAAGCTGGGAGGGAGGCCTGGACACTTTCTCCCTCACTGCTGTAGAAGGAGCCAATCCTGCCATCACCTTGATCTAGGACTTCAGGCCTCCAGAACCAAGACAATACATTTCTGTTAAGTCACCCTGTTTGTGGTACTTTGTTACAGAAGTGGAGCAAACTAGTGAGTGGATGTTTTCCATTACCCTCACGTGGTCCACACAGCTTCCTGCGGTCACTTCTGAAGCTGCCTGGACAGTTGGCCAGAGCTTATAAGAAATCTCCTCCCCAAACACATGTGGAATGGCCTGACTCAGGGAAGCAGAGATACATTCTCAGAAAGGGGACATGGGTATGGTCTGTCTGGTAGTGGGGTACGGGAGGGCTGGGCTGGGCAGCCAGCTTCCTGCACTGTCTGGTGGGGCGTCCCTTTCTGACTATTTCTCAGAAGACGCATGGAGGATGTTTCTGGGACATAGATTGTGTTTTCATATCGGGGTCTGCATCTGGGCCCTGTTGTCAGAGCCTCCAACTTCCCCAGATTTTTCCGCCATTGACGTCACAGCGGCCGGATGCGCTGGGCTTCATCGGCACCGAGGAGGAAGACAAAGGGGCAGACACCCAACCCCACAGGTTTCGTTCCGAGAATTGGCTGGCCCATCCTTCAGCTGGTGTGGCCCAGGTGGGGTGATGAGGGTGCTGGCGGATGTGGTGAGTGACGTCCATCTGGCCACCATGACAAGCCCTGGGGCCCTGTAGACCTGGCCCTTCTCAGGCAAGAATAGGCCCAAGATTTGAGGCTTGAGGAGTGCCATGCAGATCCTACAGATACTGGGACCCTCAGGGTCTTCAACCCCAGAGTCATGGGACATCATTACTTAGATTCAAAGGATCCCAGAATCTCAAACCCACAGACTCTATGGGGTCCATGGGTCCAACTTCTTAGCATGTGAACCAATGTTCCTGGTATCCAAACATACTGAAACTCCCAAAAGGACAGAAAGCTCACTACTTCATTGGGTCTTTCACCTACCAGGCCTGGAATTGCAATAACAACCCCCACTCCCCCCAGTCTCCATCCCAAGTTCTGCGAAGGCAGGAGAGTCAGGATTACCCCCTATCCTTTCCCCAGCCTGGAGCCAGGCTCTGCTACTAACTAGCTACAATTCTCTTCAGGCTCCTATGTGAATTGGGACAATAACAATCCCCATCTTCCATGAAATGCTTAGCAAAATGTCAGTGATCGATGAATGGACACTGCAGGACCTTAGACTCCCTGTCCATTCTGGGACAATGTTCCAGACTCACAGTCACTCTGCCGGAGATGGGGAAGGAAGACAGGGGTGGTTGAGGCTGGTGCACCTTTGGTGAGGGCCTTGTGGCAGGAAGCAGGAAAAGCCCTGGCCTTTGCTAGTAGAAATCCCACCACCAGGCTCTCTGGAAAGGCGCTGGGAACCAGTGCCAACTCTGGGGACATGGATGAGCTCTGTCCATAGTCAGACCCACTGACCGATGTCCTCCTAGTGACACCAACCTCAGCCCACGAGGCCTCCTTTCCCATGAGGCCCCGGGACCCACCCAGCTAGCTCTTGGGAGGCTAAGCCCCACACTGTGACCATGGATCCTCCTGCCTTAGTGAGGGTCCCACCTGTGAGAAGACAGAATGAGGAATGGCAGCAGATGGGGGACAACCCATGTCCCCTTGCCCCCTCATGGGTGCTGAGAGGTAAACTGAGGCTCAGAGTAGGGGAGAGAGACAGAGCAACGCTTCCACTGAGAGTCTTAAGAGCTGAGCTAGGGTCTCAAATCTGCCAATGTATTTCTGTGAGGACTTGGGAGAGGCCCTCTCACCCATTTCTGGGCTTCAATTTGCTCCTCTTATACACTGGGAAGGGGAGAGGTGTGGAATAGGTGAGGGCCAGGGCCCTTCCACTCTGTGTCAGGGTGAGTTAGGTGTAGAGCTTCAAGTTGACAACTGCTCCTCTATCCACGGGACTGAGAGACAGGGATATATAGAGACTCATAGAGACAAAGAGAGACACAAACAAAGAGACAGACATAGGGGAAGAGAGAGACACAGAGAACAAGAGATATGAAGAGAGATGGAGAGACCTGAGGTGGGACAGAGATAGAGTGAGAGACAAAGAACAATAGAGACAGTGAGAGATTCTGAGGTGAAACATTATATATATATATATATATATATATATATATATATATATATATAGAGAGAGAGAGAGAGAGAGAGAGAGAGAGAGAGAGAGAGAGAATGCCCCAAATAAGAACAGTTGCTGGCCTCTGGATGGTGCCTGAAATGATGAGGAATAACAAAGGGTGACATGAGGGCTACACCTAGGGCTTTGTATTGTATTGTGTTGCAAAGCAATAATCAGCAAAGTGGTATGGCTCTAGTATAAGAGCAGACACTGAGGAACAGAACAGAAAAGAAAGCCCAAACACAGACCCATGACTACAGGGAATGGAGTTTGTGATGACTGCCCAAACTGGGGGATGGTGTAGGATAGATGGTTTAATAAATGTTTCTGGGATAATTAAGGGAAAAATAAAATGATTGAATGAACAATTAGTCCATTTTCTCACTAACCCCTCCCTGCCCAGTTTGAAATATCAGCATCATCATATAACCTAAAATAAATTCCAGATCCATTAAAAAGATAAATAATAATATCTAATATGGATCCCAGGCCCTATGCTAAGAACTTAACATGGTTAATAGATTTAATTCTCACAACCACCTTTGAGGTAGATACTATTATTACTATCACAGTATGTATGAGGAAATGGAGGTACAGAAAGTTTAAATGCCTGGCTAAAAATCACACAGATGGCTTGGGGTGAGACTGGGTTTGTCACAGACAGTCTGACTCCAACACATGTGAACACATCTCATTTTCAAGTGGGAAAGGACTTTCTAAGCACAAAACCAAAGACAGTAACCACAGAAGGAAAAGCTAATCTATTTGACTATATAAAAACATCACAAGTATCACAAAACACTGTGAACAAATAGAAAAAGAAAATATTTGCTATATATGTAGGGCTGATGGAAGGTTAATATCCTTTTAAATAAAGAGCTATGGTAAATCAATAAGAAAAAAAGATGAACACCCTATTAGGATGAAGGACACCAGACCCCCAAAAGCACAAATAGTCAACAAACAGTTAAGTAATCAAAGAATGTAAATTTCAACAATGTGGTAATATTTTTTTCTTACCTGTTATGTTGAGAAAGGATTTAAAAATGACAATACCCACCCAGGGTTAGATTGAGTAGAGGGAGCATAAAACAGTACAACCTTTGGAAGAACAGTTTGCAAAGAGGGTCAGAAACCTTAAAAATGCACACACCCTTTGCCATAAGAACTCTATTTTCAGGAATCCAAGGGACAAATCAGGGATGATTATGGGGGAAAACGAGAAACAACCCAAATGTCCAGTGATGGGCATTTGGTCGAATCAATCATGGTTCATGCCAATGTGAGGTCAGTTTTGACAGCCGTGAAAGATCATATGTTGAAACAATTTTCAGTGATCTACAAAAATGCTCCTATTAATTGAATAAAGCAGGAACAAAGCCAATAAATAGTGTGATTCTAATTTAGTTAAAAAATACTAACAGCTAAAACTTTGTGAGCACTTGCTAAGCCTGCAGAGACGAACTCATCCCAGCCTTGAACAGCCTGTTCTGTTCCTGGACATGAACTCTGGACACACACACACACACACACACACACACACACAAGGTCCTGGGATTAGGACCACACAGTTAAACCACAGTTGACAGTGGCATCAAGTGCCCTCCAGGAGGGTCTGCTTTTATACAAGAACAAGTTCAGTTAAGTCCACAACCTGACCCGACAGCTCATGGTCCTCCTTTGATCAGAGCACACAGAATTGATGATCATTCTTATAAAATGTAAATGTCCTCATCAGCATTACTCAACACACTGTTATTGAGCTCCAACTGTGTATAAAGTTCTGTGCCATATGCTGGGTGGGAAGGCAAGACAAGAGAGCAGGTGAGATGGTGGGAGAAAGACTGAGGAAAGGAATCAGATGGAGTGTGGTCAAGACAGAGGACACAGACAGGAAAAATGGTCATAGCAGATACAGACAGAAGGATGGAAATTCTGAGTCAGGGAAACAGACAGAGAAAGAGCGGGTCAGATAAACATGGAATAGGTGAGACAGGGCGAATAGAGACAGAAGGATGGGCGATATTGAGAGAGAAGAGACGAAGAGAGGTGAGAGATGTAACTGAAATTTTCAGTTATACCTGGACAGCATTTCAAGTTGTTTAAAGATCTGAAATTCATAAAGATTGGTAGTTGACATATTTAAAAAAATCCTACCCATCTATATATCAATTTAATTATCTTTGCCTCCACCCAAGCATAGATTAAGTACTCTACCTATCAGTCTTCTGGCATTTATTATTATTATTGTAAAAAATACCTTACCTGACCAGGACCACAGTAGCCGCATGTGTTTGGACTATATGGAGGACTCCTGACCCTCCAGTGCCTACCTCATTGTCATCTCTTCCACTGGACCCGCATATCTGGTGGGGAAGAGCGGGAACACTCACCTTGGTGAAGTAGACTGACAGAAAAAGATCAGCCTGGCTTGTGGGAAACTGTCATATATCAAAAACAACTTTGCTTTTATACCGAGAAGAAAACCCACAGTGTGGAAGCCACCTCTCTCTTCTAATAATCCAATTTTTTTCGATGACTGTGTGCACTTATTATCACCGGGTGGGGGGGGGCTCTCATAGTTCTCTCTCTCTCTCTCTCTCTCTCTCTCTCTCTCTCTCTCTCTCTCTCTCGTTTCTCCTCTTCTTGATTATGAGACTTAAACGGAAATTTTGAAATTTTGGTTTTTCTCTTGCCCTTTACAAGTCATCTGAAAATATTTCTTCCCCTCACCACAGAGGTGAGAGCTATCAATGAGATAACAGGACTCACGAGAAACCACAGTTTTTTTTTTAAACAAAAGTGTGTAGAGTTAGGAAAAACAACAAAGGAAAAGAACTCAAATAAATCACAGGGCGCCCTGGGTGTTCACAGACCCTACTCTGTGAGTGAGAGGCTATTTGAGGCTCTCCTGGAAAAGAAACAGAGGCACCAAACCCCTATGTGTGGATGGGAAACACCAGGGAAAGAAATGGAATAGGGCTGGGTTTCCAGAGGCTTTGCCCTGCTTCAGGCCTCAGTTCCCCCATAGGATGTCCCCCTTAGGTGGCATTACTATGGTCATCACTGTTCTTACTGACCAGGAAGGGGGAGCTCTGGACATCCTTGCAACCCATCTTCCCACAGAGGGTGAGGGAAATTACTAGATGGAGAAAAAATCAGAGAGTCCTCCCCACGCCCCACAGTTCCCAGAATGGAAGAGTCTGAGAATCACTGGCTCCCAGAATCCACTGAGCATCACTGAGTGAGGACAGGGAGAAAAGTCTCATTTCATCATGGCCTGAGAGCTCTGACCCAGAGGCCACCTTGTGGGGAAGGTCCTGACCAGGACCCCAGTATTAATGCACCCATCCTCACGAAGCCCAGCCCGCTCATAGTCAGGGATACCATGGCCTGATGCTTCTGCCTCAGCCTTTGTGACTTTCTACTTAGAGAAATCCCCGTTTCCAAGGCTTTAGGAGTCCAAATATCTGCCAACATCCCCGTAGCTGACATTTATCTCAAATTCTCCATGTGCCAGGCATAGTGCTGAACATTTCTCACAAATGGTCACATTCGTGCCCTAGCCTGTTTGACTCAATGGATAGAGCGCTGGCCCTCGGACTAAAGGGTCCCTGGTTCAATTCTGGTCAAGGGCACATACCTCAGTTGCAGGCTTGATCCCCAGCCCTGGTCGGGGTGCATGGGGGAGACAACCAATCGATGTGTCTCTCTCACATCGATGTTTCTCTCTCTCTGTCTCTCCCCATCCCTTCCACTCTTTCTAAAAATCAATGCAAAAATATCATCTGGTGAGGGTTAACAAGAACAACAACATGGTCACATTCAATCCTCACCAAAGCCCGTTGAGGTCCATCTTGACATCATGGCCATTACACAGGTGAACAAAATGGAGACGCGAAGTAGTCAAGAAACTTGTCCCAGATCACAGAGCTGGCAGGTGCGGGGCCCTGCCTTTTGGTGCCAGACTTTGAAACCCCCAAGTTTCCTTGATCCCAACAGTCTCAGGTTTTAAATACTAGGATGCAATGACAGGGAGGTTCTCAGGTTCTTCTGGGGGGCTTGAAGGTTGTGCGGTGTTAAGGTTGTCCAAGAATTGGTGGCCGCATTTCCTCACCTCAGCGAGCACCTCCTCCAATCAATGCTCAACAGGGGAGACCAGCACCCAGGGGCTTCTCCTGACAGGCCATGGCTGAGACTCCCAGTCCCCGGCTCCCCGATGCCCGGCATGGCCCAGGATTGTGTCATCCAACGTTCACTCCAAAGTATCCGCAAGACTGGTTTCAGGCCTGGGGAAGAGAAATTGGAAACAGCTTTTTATTCACATGGTACAAACCTTGTGCCCAAGACCCACCCTTTCACCCCTTTGCCTCTATTCCTCCCCTCTCAATAAAAGGAGAGCCTCTTTCCTCAACTCAGACTCACCTTTCTGGAAAAGCCCAGAGGGGGCCTGATGGCTTGGCTTTGTGAAGATAAGAAAAAAAAAAAGGTGAATAGAAAAAAAAAAGACCTTAAAAAAACCAGCCAACAACGACAATTGAAAAAAACACACACAAACCCAACCCTCCCTACCATTAGGTCAAAACAAAACTTTCACTGGTTGAAGCTTCTGAGTTGGTGGGACATGTCTGGGACCCAAATATGGCCTGTGTGCCAGGCATCCAGGGGATGCACCAAGGTGGGGTAAGGTTCTCAGGTTGAGACCTGTAGGAACCCTGTGTACAGCAGGGGCTTAACAGTTGTGGCATATGGCTGGGAGCAAGCGGCCGGGGGTGGTGGTGGTGGGGGGTGAGGATTAGTGTACTTGTCAAGAAAGAGTCCTGGGAAGCTGACCCCTTGCTCCCCATGGACTTGGGCCTAAACATTTCTTACACTTGCTGAGTAACTATTAACCAGGCCAGTTCTAGAAGCTGAGGCCTCATTCCCTGTCCCAGCTCTTGCCCTTCCTGAGAGAAGGGGCTGGTTTTTTCTTTCAGGTTCAGAGGTACGGGCTGAACCTCCCTTATGCCTTCCCAGACCATCTCTCCCTTACTGTCACAGGAGTGGCCAGAGAAAGAGGAGGAAAACTGAGAGTGGTGGCCCAAAGATTCCCAGGAGGCTACTTGAGTGAGGCTCAGGATGTGTGGGGGGGAGGGGGAGGCTGCTGCTGCTGAGAGCCGGGACCCTTGCAGAGTGAGAACTGGGGGGTCAGGTAGGCAGAGAGGGACAGAGTTCATCACCTCTTCTCTGTACTGGACTACATCCTCTCCAATGAAGGCTTCTGGGGGACAGTGGGCAGAATTAAACAAAGAGGTAGGGCCGGCTGGCATGGCTCAGTGGTTGAACGTCGACCTATGAACCAGGAGGTCACGGTTTGATTCCATGACAGGCCACATTCCCAGGTTGTGGGCTCGATCCCCAGTAGGGGGTGTGCAGGAGGCAGCCAATCAATGACTGTCTCTCACCACTGATGTTTCTATCTCTCTTTCCCTTTCCCCTCCTCTCTGAAAGCAATAAAAATATATAAAAAACAAACAAAAACAGAAACAGAAACCCCCACAAAAAAACAAAGAGGTGGGTGAAAATCCCCAGAGAAGGGGGTCTTTGACAAAGACTTGAAGGGAAGTGAGGGAGGGATCCATGTACACATCTGAGTAATTCCAGAGGAAACATCCTGTGCAAAGGCCCTGAGGTGGGTGGGAGTGTGTCTGATTTTCTCAAGGTCTGCTAAGGAGGTTGTAAGGTTATAATAGTGTGAGAGAGAGGGAGAGGGGTAGGAGGTGAGGTGAGAGAGGAGACAAGAGGGTTGGTTAGTCAATGCAGGACCTTGTAGGAGGAGGCCACAGGAGAACTGTGAGCAGATGAGATTTAACAGGATCCCTCTGATTGTTGAGTGTAGAACTGACTGTAGGAATAAGGGTAGAAGCAGGGGGGCCAGTGAGAGAGAGGCTACTGCAATAGTTCAGGGGACTGGTGTTGGTGTTGGCAGTGGAGGGGGTGAGAAAAGGGTGGATTTGGGAAATATTGTAAAAGGAGAGCTGATAGGATCTGTTAAAGGATGAGAGTCTGGGGTCTAGACTTGGCCACAGACAATGCCCTAATTGGGAAGGTAGGAAGGAGTCCCTGGACTACTCACCAGATTGGATTTTAGGTGATACAAAAATAAAGTTCTATCTATTTAAGTTCCCATTATTTCATGATTCTTCTGTTACTTGCAGCTGAACATATTCCTTTCTGACCCATGACCCCTGGACACCGAGACATGAGGGGGAGAGGAGGTAGCTGCTGGGGGGACCACCTTCCTCATAGGGATGTTTTGAGTCAAAACCTTTCATACAGTAGATGTTCAGTAAATCCTCCTAGGATGGAGGAGAAATGTATGAATGGACATGCTCAGTGGACAAAAGCTACAATTTGGTTCCCATAGGTGAGACCTCAAAGGGAGAGTGAAAGGAGTTGACTAGATGGAGGAAGCAGAAAGAGCAGCTCTCTTGGGAGAGGGAACAGTAGAAGAGATGGAGGCAGATAGAAAGGAGGTGAGGCCACTGTGGGATGTGGAGGACTGAGTGGGGCAAGAAGGACAGGGCTTGGATTTGTGATTATGCTAGCCAGTGTCTGCCAACATGCCTAATCAACTCTTGGCGGCATAGTCAAGCTTAGTGTTTTGCTGAGCTGCTTAGAAAAAGCTAACCTTTCAAAAAAGTTATATTTTTCATCTGGCCATTCATTCAGTAATGGTGCCAAGTCCTGGAGAATGCTGAGGATGACAATCAGGGGCATCCTTGCCTAGTCACACTCAAGCAAAGGCTTGGAGGTGGGCAGAGGAGATCCAGTAACTGCGACAGGAGAGTTCATTTTGCTTTCTTAGATTTCGCACCAGAGTGCAGTCTAGGTCTTGAGGGGCTTTGGGGATTCACAGCTCGGGGGCAATGGGGAGTCACGGAGGGTTAGGGAGCAGGTAAATCCACTCACAAGTGGCATTTTATGGTTCTGTTACTTGACCACCCCATAGCCCAGACTGCCTACGCACTGTCCTCTCCTCCTGCTTCCTTATTGGCTCTTTATTCCCTCCTACACACCACCTATAACGTCCCGTAGGCTCTGCTCTTTCATATCTCGCTTCTATGTCCCTTTGCACTACCCTTTGAGGGCTCCACTTAGCTCTGGCTCCCCCATTGGCTATCTGACATCTCTCTTCCTTGCTCCCACCTTCATCCCCATCGGCTCTGTCCCTCCAGTCCCGCCTCCGACGCTCTCACACACCGCCTCTCGAGCTCCTTCTGGCCTCCATAAGAACTAGTTCCGCCCTGGCACCACCCCTTGAAGGCTTCATGCAGGCTCACAGACTCCCCGTTGGCTCGCTGCATCCTTTATCGTCACCCCTCCTCTACGACACCGGCGCGTGGCTCCCATTGGCTGTTCACTGTTTCTAGCTTTCAACCACCTACCTACGCAACCCTGGGATCTCCTACTTTTCAGGCCTCTCTGTTCGCTGCCTGCTGCCCCCATCGCCTGTAGCCACTCCATTTACCCCGCCACCCAGATGCCAATCCCGCTCATGCTTCCCCATTAGCTGTCCTGCTTCTCTCTTCATCCCAGACCCTACACCACCCCCATTCAGGTCTCCCCATTGATTCACCGATCACCCTGCCTCTTACACCGCCCACTCTCTGACGTCCCTATTGGCTGCGTGCGTCTCCTGCGCTCGATTCACTGTCTATGTCACCGTGCGTGGCTCCCCATTGGCTGCCTGATACACCTGTCTGCGTCTCACGCCTTCGGCCTCCGTGAGCTGTACCCCCTCCCCGCCCCCCGCGCGGGCCTTCCCATTGGCTGCCCGCCCCTTCAGGCCCGGCCCCCGCCGGTCCCGCCGCCGGTGCCGTCGGTGCCACCGCCGATATGGCGCACACGGCCCCTTTTGGAGCCCCCGCTGCGGCCTCCTGCGCCCCCCTCGCGGGAGGGGGAGAAGCCCTGAAGCTCTGTTCGAAGGAACGGCGGCCCCGCGGAGGTTGCTGTTTGC